GAAGATAAAAGTGTACCATGTGTTATGCTTGGGATTAGTGAGGATTCCAAGGCTTATAGGTTGTATAATCCAATTACTAAAAGAATCATAGTCAGTAGAGATGTAATTTTTGAAAAAAAAAAAGCTTGTTGGAATTGGATAAATAAAGGAGAAGAAGAGATAGCTATGGATCTTGAAGAAAATGAGGAGAATTCAGCGATGGACACTAGTCCAGTAGGCTTAGCTGGTGAAAATGAGTCATCTGGAGATAACTTAGAGGAGCACAGAATCAGAGAAACAAGATTAAGAAGACCTCCTGTATGGATGACAGATTATGCAAGTGGGGATGAGTTATCTCATAATGAAAATACTGCTCAATTAGCCATGTGTGCTGACAGTGATCCAATCACCTTTGATGATGCTATGAGAAGTTCAAAATGGAGGAAAGCCATGGACATAGAAATTGAAGCCATTATAAAGAATAATACTTGGGAACTTACTGAGCTACCAGCAGGAGAAAACTATTGAAGTCAAATGGATTTACAAAACAAAGCTCAAAGAAAATGGAGAAATTGACAAGCATAAAGCCAGGCTAGTGGCAAAGGGCTACACACAAGAATATGGGATAGATTATGCTGAAGTTTTTGCACCTGTGGCTAGGCATGATACAATTCGATTGGTGGTGTCATTGGCAGCTCAAAATAGTTGGCTTATTTATCAACTCGACGTAAAATCAGCCTTCTTGTATGGATACTTGAATGAACAGGTTTTTGCGGAGCAACCACCAGGGTATGTCAAGATAGGAGAAGAACATAAGGTGTACATATTAAAGAGGGCTTTATATGGACTGAAACAAGCTCCTAGAACTTGGTACAGTCGTATTGAGCCCTACTTCACAAAGGTGGGTTTCAAGAAGTGCCTTATGAGCATGCAATATTCATCAAGCATGAAAAATGAGGTAAAATTTTAATAGTATGTCTCTATGTAGACGATCTCATATATACTGGAAATGATGAAACAATGTTTTTTGAATTTAAGAAGTCTATGATGGTAGAGTTTGAGATGACAGATATGGGAAAGATGCATTATTTCCTAGGCGTGGAGGTTAAACAAATAGCTGGTGGGATTTTTGTTGGACAGAAGAAGTATGCTAAGGAAGTACTTGTTAGATTTCAGATGAATGATTGCAATACAGTTCAGAATCCCATTGTTCTAGGAACTAAGTTGACTAGAGATGTTAATGGCTCAAAGGTTGACGGTACGTACTTTAAGCAAATAGTAGGAAGCTTGATGTACCTAACTGCCACACGACCTGATTTAATGTTCGTGGTAAGCAAAAAGGGTTTTGAGGTACTTAAAAGGAACTGTAGATTATGGTCTGTTTTATTAGAAAAATTCAGAATCAAGTCTGGTCGGATTTAGTGACAGTGATTATGGTGGAGATTTGGAGGACCGAAAGAGTACATCTGGATATGCTTTTATACTGAGTTCTGCTGCTATTGCTTGGTCCCCGAAAAAACAACATGTTGTCACATTATCAACAACTGAAGCTGAGTTCATAGTTGCAGACTCTTGTGCTTTTCAAGCTATTTGGATGAGGAGAATACTGGAAGCATTATGATGTACACAGAGGGAGGCTACTAAGATATTTTGTGACAACAGCTCTACTATAAAATTATCAAAGAATCCTGTGCTACATGGAAGGAGCAAACACATAGACATCAGATTTCACTTTCCTCGTGATCTTACTAAAGAAGGTGTGGTGGAACTGGTTCATTGTCAAAGTCAAGAGCAGGTAGCAGATACTTTTACCAAACCATTGAAGCTGGAGACTTTCTTGAAGATGCGCAACCTGCTTGGAGTTAAATTAAATCCATGTGTAAATTAAACCATGTTCAGTTTAGGGGAGGGTGTTAAAAGTATTGGTAGTTTAATTAATTTTGTGTTTAGCCGAATAATCCCTAAATTTTAGGGAAAGTTTGAAAGAGTCTTTTCTATTGATTATTATTTTAGGAGAATCCCATGATCTTAGTATTTGTTATTCATGGGACCTATTCCGTTTTTCCTTTCTGTTATCTCAAGTTGTAAGGCTATTTAAAGCCAAGTCCATTATTCAAGGAATTATCTCTTCCATTGATATTTCCAGAATATACAACATGTTGGCTGATTGTAAGATATCTTAAATGCCATCAAATATCTAATTTTACCTGATACGCTTCATATCAATTGCTACAATGGTTTAACTGGATTTGCTAAGAAAGTTCATTAGCTGGATTTCTTTGAATGTAGAAGATTCCACATGATATAATTGAAATCTTCTCAGTAGTTTTGTCTTTTTCACTGACATACTGTATTAACTAAAGAAGAATTTACATTTACCCGGCCACTACTTTTCCTGTCTGCGGCATTTTTATTCATTATTTGTGTTTTTCTACCTTCCATTATTAAGAAGGGCTTTGCGTTTGCTCACTGTATAGAATGCAGAGCAATGTGGACATTTGCGTGCACATGTCCCCCTGATCGTTGGTGGTGGAGGTGGAGGTGGTGGTTGGTGTGGATTTTGGATTTGAGGTGGAGGTGGAGGTGGAGATGGCGGTGGGGGGAAGATGACGATTTTGTCTGTGTGTGTGTTTTATTTAATTATTTAACGTTATAAATAGAAAATTACTCTTTTGCCCCTTTTAAAATATTAAAAAGTCGAAATCAATTTTTTGGTCAACTGACAGAATTATGGATGGAAACTGTCCAAATGGGCTTCACCTGCAATGTTTGAAAATGTTAGGGGTGACGATTGCAATAAATCAAAGGTTTGAAGAAAGTTTGCTAATGTTTCAAAGGTTTGGTGTTTTTGTTGCAATTATCCCTTATATAAATGTTTAAAAAGTTAGGTATTTGTTTTTGACACTCGTGTGAGTCCTGTCCACATTATAAATGTTCAAAATCAGCATGTTCCACTCCGGGTTAATACCCTAAATAGTCACTAAACTTTGCTAAAAGTTCACAGGAGGTCACTGAATTTCAAAACTTCCCTAATTAGTCACTGAACTTCGCAAAAAGTTCCTAGGAGGTCATTGAACTTCGAAACTACCCTAAATAGTCACTGAACTTTTTCAAAACTACGATAATTAGTCACTCAACTTTGTAAAAAATTCTTAGGAAGTCACTAAATCATTGATGTATGAGGTCACAATTTGCAAAGTTCGATGACCTCTTAGGAAGTTTTAGCAAAGTTCAATGACTATTTAGGGTAGTTTTGAAGTTCAGTGACCTCATAGGAACTTTTTGCAAAGTTCAGTGACTAATTAGGGAAGTTTTGAAATTCGGTGACCTCCTGGGAACTTTTGGCTAAATTCAATGACTATTTAAGGTATTAACTCCATTTTCATTTACTTCTTAGTTTAGTTTTGAATTTCAGAGACCTCATAGGAACTTTTTGCAAAGTTACAGTGACTAATTAGTGAAGTTTTGAAGTGCGGTGACCTCCTGGGAACTTTTGGCAAAGTTCGATTACTATTTAAGGTATCGACTCTTTCACTCCAGATCCGGACACCGACCTGAGGAGGACAAAGAACCGAAGAATTGATTCTTTGTTAAATGGAGATCGAAAAGAATTAAGGGTGAGTTTAATTGTCAATATTTTTTTATAGAAATGCGTTTTCTACCCAATTTCCTACTTTTATGCTGTTTAATTGACAATTTTCTTTACGAAAAATATTTTTCTGTTTTTGATTACGTGATCATATTTTCCTTGAAAATAAGGAAAATATTTTCTTTAGGAAGAGTTGGTTTTTATTTTTTAAGTAATTCACTCTTTCTTTCTTTTTTTCTTCTAAACACCAATAAAAAATGGACATATATAATATTTTTTAGATTGAAAACTAAATCAATCAAAAACATTTAATTAATAATTGTCATACAAATAATTTTTAGACAATTGTTTAGAATTTATTTTCTTTGCACGTAAATTTTATGCTCTTAATCAAATGCAACCTAATTGGTTTTGTACGTGGATATATACTATAAAAGGATACCGAACAAAAGTTATATTTTCATCAATATAAAAACAAAGTGAAAAAGTAATCTTTAAGGGGGTTAAGATGTACAAATGTTTGATTAATCAAATGCAACCTAATTGATTTTGTACATGTCTATATACTATAAAAGGATGCCGTACAGAAGTTAAGTTTTCATCAATATAAAAACAAAGTGAAAAAGTAATCTGTAAGGGGGTTAAGATGTACAAATGTTTGATTGCGCCTTAACGAAAATGATTTCCTTTTCCTTTTAAATGCAACCGAAAAAATCCAGTCAACCTGTAGCGACGTTCAACAGGTTCTGGTGAAGTGTGTAGTTTCATCTTAATTTTCTAATACACAGAAACTCAGTACTTTTTTTCAACATATAGCCGGACTGTGTTTTATAACGCCGTTCACAACTCTTCCAGACCACGACTATTCTGTAATCATCCACCTTGCAGCCTGAATGATATTTATTATTCCCTACATGAAATGTAACTTTGCATATGAGAACAAATATTACAGAATACAGAGATTATGCAAGATTTTCGCCATCACAAGACCGTTTTCAAAAAGGTGAATTCACTTCATATCCAATGCTGAGGAAGATACTCTCTTAGAGAGGTAGAGCTGTTGCCTCAGTTACTCGAAACAATGTCTAAATATTGCGATCTCAGCACTGCCTCTGAGAGTCTCGGTGAACTAAGACGTGTCTGTGAAGATGCAGACTTGTACAGATAGACCATATAAAGTCGAGAGACTAGGCCAACTTACTGATTAATGCTATCCCATGGTCCAAGCTTTAGGCTCCATAGACTGAATTACGTAGTAGGTATTAGGGAAGAGAGGGCACCACTTCGCACGGTGGATACTTGTTTTTGATGGTTAGCTCCATAATCGATGCACGAGGCTCCCGCTTTTTCAGGAATAACACCCAGGCTCCCAAAATTTTCCCCTAGCTTATATAGAAAAACTGCCTCTAAAGGATATATTTTTTGCTTCAGCCTAGATCCTTCCAAATGGTGAGGAGGGTGGACAAGTGACATATTTTACAGGTACCTGGAGTGTGGTTTGTGGCTTCATCTTATCCTTTCCAATTGTGACTTCTGATAACCCTGCAGTTTCTGACAGATTATTCACGTCTAAGATTTCAGGTAGCTTTCGACTAGTTATGCTGGCTACACATACAGAAAATGCCTCAAGCAAAGAGATGGATGCGTTGAATTCAAGAGAGTAAAATCCATTGCTTGTTGGTTCCAAACTGAAAATTGGCTTGCTCCCTCGCTCTTCTCCCTGTAAATAAGTACGGAACACAAAATTATATTCTATATAAGCTAGGGGAAAATTTTGGGAGCCTGGTTAGCGAGGAATTGTAGCTTGCAAATGGTACCTGAATGAAAAGATCAAGACGATCTGCAGCCGAGCTATGCATAGATGGTCCCGCAATCTTGCTGCGCCTGTCCTGGTTAGCGAGGATTTGTAGCTTGCAACCAACATCCCAGCCTCCACAATCACATGATCCACCTGATTTCCATCGGTTGATTAATGGCGAGGGTGCACCTTTAGTTGGTAAGCCATGAATTCCAACAGGAAGAATGACTACTGTGCTATTGGGGTTCTCATCTTCACCTGAGATACACCTTACAAACTCTCTATCTTTGAATGGTCTGCCGTTATCGCTCAAACATTCATCCTTTAGCTTTTCACACGTGTTCTTAATAACAATTGCAGCAATCTCCCTATAGAAAAAAAGCTCAGGTGTTTGCTTATCCACCTGGCCGAGATCAACACCATACAAGACACATTCTCTTACCACGCATTGACTAGAGTCCATTGAATTTAATTGCGGGAGATAAGAGCTTGAAATCTTCATCTGGGCGACGATATTATAGCCAAGTCCACAACTTTTACCTTTTGGTCCTTGATTTATCCAGCTTGTACTCTTTTTCTTAATTTCATGAACAGAGTAGAATGTATAAATCAAGCAGCAGTCACCCTTTTCAGACGATGGCAACTTCTTTACAGTAGCAGCCAGCACGTTGCTACTATTATCAGCTGCAAGTTTGAAAGAAGGGAGTCCATTCTTCATTGAAAGCTGCAGAAGAGCCTGAAAAGTAGACACATCCTGCTTCCTGTCTTGAATTTGTCCATCGTCGTTCATGGGCTTGGAGGGCATGACATGTGAGTTTCCATCTGGTGGTGTAACAATCTCAGCCGAATGAGCTCCTTTATACTTCAGCAATGGGTCCAGTAACCTTCTTAAAGGGCTAGATCTCCTTCGGCTACTAGCAGCTGCTTTGTCTTTGTTATAGCTCTCCATGCTAGGCGAAAGTTCGGATCCAACTGGGCCGGACTTCGGAGCAGTATATGTAGAACTCAACTGTGAAACTCCTGAACTCTCCTTAAAACTAAAGCTTCTGGTCATCTTCCCAAGGCTCAAGCTGAAGCGGCGAGTAGGGGACGGATGTCTTCCTTTTCCAGCTTTCTGTTCAGCATTGACATCCATTCTCTTGGAAGCATCGAATGAAAATGAGCGTTTCGCTTCACATTTTTTGGGTAGGAGAATTATGTCATCTGGAACTGCAGTCGTGCATAATTCTGAGTCCATGGCCACAGCATTGACCAAGTTAGGTGGCTCCATACCAGAATTGGTGTTGACCGTAGCACTAGTAGACAAGGGGCATGAATGTGGAATAACAGTGGCAAATTCTCCTGAATGATACTCCTGAGGAGAAAAGCCATCAGAAAACCTGGCCCAATTTCCTTCAGCCAATTGTCCATCAAATAACATCCTGGATTCTGTAAACTGAGAAGTTTCTGAGGAACTCGTCATTGGGAAATGATTGGGTGCTAGAAGTACGATGTTTTGTGGCTCTACAGTGCAATGTTGAGGAGTAAGGTAGACTTCATCTTTGCATCTCGTCTTACTCTTCCCTTCCTGAACATTGATTGTTTTAGGTGAAAAGACGGAGGACCCATTTTTACCCCTGCCTAAGGCCAAAGCTTCCTTTTCCAATACTATCCTTTTAACAGAACCGTTGCTCTCGCCATGCCTCTTATTTATTTCAGAATGATCCCTTCCACAAGACTTAACTTTCTGACTGAAATTGCCTTGCTGCCCACCCACGGTGCTACTTCGAGCTTGCAGATCTTTGGTATATGTGCTCTTTCCTTTGGACTGTTCGATGCCTCCTGTCATCCTTTCTGCCTGAGAATTAAGAAGTGAACCATACGTTGGAAATTGTTTTCTCAAAGGTGAAGAATCAAAATGTGAACCACATGACAATGGTTGTTTTCCTGGTGATGATGAACTAGGACGTAAACCATGTGATGATAGTTGTTTTCCCAGCTGTGAACTAATTTTAGGTGATCCACTTGTCATAACCAAGGAATTATTGATACATGATGTTGTTTTCCTGTTACATTTTGCAGGCATACGTTCATTATACTTCCATTTCTCTAATTGCTTCCAATCAAGAACTCCAAAATTTAATGCCTTTTCTTGGACACTTTTTTCTTTCGCTACCTGCTGGAGAAAGCTGGGTAAGTTCGACATGTGCTTGACAAGCTCGTCATCTTTACATGTCTTACTCCCCTGCTGTGTCGTCTGACGATTCTTGGAAGACCTAAATTGGATCACATTCTCAGTGCTTCCACCCTGTCTTAATTCTCCATGCAGACCAACGTATGGTTGGCCAAATGAATGTCCAGGTCCAAATGTATCTTGATATTGTGAACTTGCATCAGCCCAAGGTCCTAGAATCTTCTCTTTCACAGCATCTGATGTTTGTTGACGTATTGAACTCCGTTTCTGCTCTAAACTACGACTCATTTCCCTAGCAGTTGCTGCACATGTAGTTTGTGGTTTAATGTCAGATAGCATGGTACACACCTAAAATCTTTCGCTTAACTGAGAAGATATTTGTCCTATTAATTCAATGTGAAACTTGCTCTCCGATGACAGTAACAAAAAGGTGTGCTTTTCTTCCTGAGAAAAGTAACCACAATCAATTCAACAATTCAAAGCAGTAATCAAAGAGAGAACTTTAAAACAGGTACAACAAATTTCTTAATGATTTGCATGGATGTTCCAAAAAAAGATTCGTATCAAAATGATTACATGAATTCTCCAAGTTTTGAAGGGTTGAGAAAGCAGACAAGGTGGCATGTTACATCTGTAACACTACAAGGCAATTAAGTACAGTTATTTGTTAAATGGTATAATAGTAAACTAAAATAACCAACAATGTTTGAAATATCTTTAGCTTAGATGTTAACAAAAGAAGACAATATGTTATTAACTCAGTGAAAATCCTTACCGGATTATTATATCAAGTCCACAACATTTTTCCCAATAACATGATGTCAAGAACAAGATTGTTACCTCGTTTAGATAATTCACCATTCCATTATCAATAATAGCAGGAAAAATTCCCATATACAAAGAGTATGTGTATATATATATAAAGATTCAATTATAAGAATGTGAACTTTATGTGGATTACATTACTAACTTCCCCGTAAAAACACATTCACTAGTTCCTATCATCGTAATAACAAGAGGAAATTATTTAACAGAGAAAATGGTTTTGGTGACTGATTTTTAACAATTTCCAAGTCCATACACATTTCTCCTCAAAATACAAAAGACAAGAAACTTATTTATGTCTCAATTAGAGAATTGGGAAAACCATTTCCGGACGAATGCACGGATTCCTCCTGCAGTTGGTTCCAGGACTTCGGTTCAAAACTCTCTTCAACATTACAATGTGCAATAGCAATTTATCCATAAAAATGGATTTACAATGCTGAACCAGAATAGTACACACCCAAAATGAATTATTTTCCTTTGAACCCAAAAGGTTAGATAAATCCAAATCTCAAATCCTAAATAAAATGCAAAAGGATCAGAACACAAGGCTAAAAACAGCAACACGGAAGCATGAAAAATCCTGATTTTTCTTCAAGAAAACAAATTATATCGCCATTATTTCAGACCTAATCCCCGAAAAACAGAGATCCCAACGACTGCAGCTCAACCAAAGCACTAGAATACATCTCCAAACGATAAAAGGAAATAGGTCCACGAGATTAATAATTTGGAGTAAAAACAGCCCCATGAAATGTGTGAAGGCTTTTACTTTTACCAATTTAGTTCAACACCTACCACAAAAGAATTCAAGAAAATGAAAACCCATAGACACATTTACTGAACAATGAAAACCCATTAACCTCTTTTACCCAAAAATTATAAATAACGATAGAAATTAAAACAAAATTAAATTAAAAAATGTTCTTACACTCAACGGAAAGAAAGGAATTGCAGAGTCAGAGAAAGCAAGAAATCTTCTTGGAATTGCACAAAGCGGTTTCCTCGATGCCGGAGAAGAAAGAAAAAGTATCAGCTGCTTACAGGAGGAACAGTCTTACAGATCGATAGATACAACATATACGTAGCGTGAAGAACCCCGCGTATCGGTGCAGTGAAGAGTGACAGTGTCATTATTTAGAGAGAGAATTATGAGCCAGAGGCGTTTCGCTTTCTACGGATCCGACGGTTAAAAAGTGAGGTTTTAACACTAGAGGCCACCCATCGTTTAGCTAAATTTCATTTTAGCCACTCAATTTTGCCCAAACAACTGAACTTTCAAATTTCGTCTCAGTTTGATCACCAAAGTTACAATAATAAACATTCTTGCTTCCTTGGTAGATGATTTTCTTGCATGAACGCTATGGTCGTCAATAAAAATTGTTTGTTTACATAACTGTTAATATTTATAATATTTCAATTACACGATTTTTTTTTTTTTGTTAAAATCTAATTTTGTATCATTGTTTAGTCGACATAGCAAATTGATGTCAATAGATATCTACATAAAAAAAAATGTCTTCCATGTCGAAAATGACATTAAATTTTTGTAATTGGATGTTGAAACTTTCCGTGAAGAGTTTGGAATAAAAATATCTAGGGACTAAAATGATTTGTTTCTCAAAGCTAGATGACCTCTATAATAAATAAGGTGGCACGGCATACGTGGTTACATCAAGTAGGGTACGGAGGTGCAGATGGTCACTGGGCTATGGAAATGTGGGCCCTATTATTGGACCCAGTGTTGAAAAATACTAAAATTATCCTCGAATCCAATGTTCCCTTGTGGGGCCAAGTTGGGCCCACAAATTGCGTTTAAGTGGGCCTCTCCAGTCTGGATTGTTCTAGCCTGTGGATGTGGAATGAAATTTATTAGAAGGCTTTTTTTGTTTTTAGTAGACTGTGGTTGTGCAGTCTCAAGCCCAATTACAGGAATATTGTTTTTTGTCCCATCTTCTACCCCACACTTCCCTTAATTTTGCTTTTAATTAATTCGCCTACTAAGAGTTTGTTTGGGAGAGATTAAAATTAGATTAAAATTGAAAATATAGTCGTTGGAGTTGACTTTTATTAGACAGATGGGACCCAATAACGGCTATATTTTCAATTTTAATTAGATTTTAATCATTCTCAAACAAACTCTAAATATAAATAGTTGTTTGATAGATATTAAAATCTAAATCTAAATTTAATTTTTTATTTTGTGAGATTCACGGCTTTTCAATCCCATATGTTATAAATTTTTTATTAAAAATTTATTGAAAATTTGATTTTAATTATAATATTTCTACGTCTTGTCACTGGTTTGGTCCAACTCATGATTTTGGTCATAGTGAAGGTGGCTTTTTGGACTGGCCATTGGGATTATAATGTCCACTAGCACGTTCTTTCATGAGCAAGCAGTTTCTTGCTACCTTTTTTATTGGATAGTGCAAACAGTATGAGAGATTTCAGATTTTATCATTTTAAATTAATCTTTAATTATAAGGAGATGATCAAGAATTTTCGCACGTGTGAGGATTTTGGAGGAATTTTTTTTTTTTTGGCGCCATTTTGAGGTGAATGATGAAAAGGATACGTTTAAAATATTCGTAAACATTGGAGGTAAGTTAAAAGTAGCTTCAAATTTCTATTTTCTGCGATCAAACCTAACCTTTTAAATAGAAAAATGCCATACATTTCACATTGGAAGGTAAAGACTATGGTCAAGTTGTTGAATAATTTTTTTGAATCTCAGAGATTTCATAGAAAGCGCTAAAAGCGGTTACACGGAGGAAAACCTCCAACACAGGCTCTCCACAGAGAGATAAAGTGCTACCACGGCCCAAACAATGATCACACAAACTATACAAGACTCAAACAAACACATACAATACACGACCCGATATCCAACATAGACAATAGACGTCGAAGGACAGCTGTAACTGAAAAGTCAACTACGCACTCGGCACTTTAGCACCCCCGCTCACAAGGAAACGGACATTGTCTGACACACCATTGCCAACTGACCACACAAGAAAACAAAACAAGACTCAAACACCGACAAACAATACATGACCCGAAACAAGGCAATCGAAGCCAAAAAAACATCTGTGACTTTACCAAGGCTCGAAACCCCACATAAAGCCAACTACGCATTCAGCACTTGAGCACCCCCGCCCACATGGAGGCGGGCATTTTCTAGACTACGATACTGCCACGCAAACCACACAACAAACAAACCAACCAAAACCAAACAAAAACCACAATACCAATACAACCAAAACATTCACCACACACCACCAACGACAACCAACAGACACCAAAACACCACCACCATCGACCCATGCCAACGCTGGATGACCAACCAAAACGGCCAACCAGCGACGCTCTGTTAGCAGCAGCACCCCGTCGGCATCCTCCGCCTGGGACCTCCAGCGACCAAGGTCGGCCACTCAGGACCAGAACCTCGCTTGCCACACCCCTCCGACCGAAGCACCCACGAGCACCACCACGAAATCACTGCCGACCACACCACCAACCCGCCCAAACCCCGCCAGCAAAACGGCGAACCTCGGGAGACCACAGCCAACGAAAAAAGAAAAAAACAGAAAGAAATACTAGGATGGAAAACAGGGGCTCCCACCACCCGTCGAGCTCGAAGGAAAGGGGGTTTTACAAGGGTTAAGGGTTAGGGAAAATGGAAAGATGGAGGAGTGAGATAGAGGGCCAAACACCTTCACAACGGAAGGAAAGACAAACCTTCACAACGGCAACCCGTCGGAGGGAAGAAAAGCTCCACCGGCGGGAGGGGGGAAAACCCTTACTGCAGAAGGGACTCTCTGTTTTTATCTATTTGTTTCTCGTTGTTGAACAATTATATAACTATAATCCTTAATATGTCATGTAAATGTAATTTTGGATAAATATTTTTTAAAGATATAGAATTCCAGCTAAAAATGTAATTTATCTTTATATAAACTCTATCTTTATGCGTCGTTCATTTTGAATTTTTCAAACGATTACAATAATTTCTTCGAAAGAAGTATAATATTATTGTATCGTCCATCCATTATTATTAAGTTCCACTAAACAATAACGTCTTTTGTCCATCTTTAATTAAAAAATCGCTCATACTCCAAGGTTTTATTTCGTCTCAACAGTGCAAAAGCAAGCCATCGGAGAATCTCCTACCATGGTGACGAACCAGTAACCACACCTTCCTTTCGGATCTTTTGCATGCATTTGGGCACATGCCCTCGCAAGATGCTGTGGATGGCAGTTAGATGAAGCACTCATTTTCCCTATTTACCGTTTATTTTTCTTCTTAAATAATACTAATTTGGGTTGGACTGGTGGTGGCTGATACCCATCTCAATCCCTAGTTGGGGTAAGATTTCTTGCCAAGAACTTGCACTGCCAACCCAATGGAACGAGGAATTCTCGCCCCGTTCTTGAAATTCGTGTACTCAATTGAGTTTTGA